ACCGCACCTTCTCCTGGGATCTCAAAAAGCTATATTATATATATATATTATAGATTGATAGATAGACTTACACTTGGTTATTTTCAGGATGTGCATTTTAGATCACTTTAGCATATAGTGGCAGGATCGGCAAAAGTCACCTGGCGTAGATAGCAGATAGCCAAGATCGGAAACATCAACAACTGCCGGGTCCAAATCATCTGGATGCATTAGTGTCTAACATCTGAGCACGGTGAGCAGTGTACAGGTTGAAAAATAATCCGCCTGTGATTCGACCCAAACCCGTTCATTCTTTGAATCACTTGGCATCGGGCAGTGTGCCCTTGCAGCAGTTCATGGTGAGAACACTCCTGTCACACCCCTTCTGAAGGCATTGGTAATCACCAACTTGGCCCAATTCCATGCTTTCCAAGCACCGAAACCAGTCGATCCCCCCAGGATCCAGAAAATTCCATAAGGCACCAGTGGACTGGACATTTCAGACATAGACCGACCTTCCCAAAGCTCCGCAGCGGGATGGCCAGGCACGGATCATCCAAGGGCCCAGCTGCTCCGCCTTTGGGTCCCCTGCAGCCAGCAGGATCTCCTGAATGGATACGACGCTTGGCAAGACCGGCGTGAGGTTTGTAAAGGACAGGTCTAAGTCCTGCTCTCACTCACTTCGAACAAGTTACCAACATATACCGACAACAGTTTGGTGATGTTTGGTGTGCGAAACTGTGGAGACTCAACAAGTGGGACAAGCAGCTCCAGAAATACACCCACCAAATTCTGGGTCTTGCAAGGTCATCCCCCCAATCCCAAACCATCCATGGGGGCATATTATTACCTGCGATTACCTGGTTGATTTGACATGTTCATCTATCTGGACACGCTTACTCCTGCGTCCGTTCCCTGTGGCTCTGCCGCTGTTTCCCCCGCGCATCGGTTTCGCGCCCGCCCTTTCCTCCTCGCGGATGGAGGTCTCGAGTTCCAAGGCCTTGGGGATGTTGAAGATCTGCGCGGACCGCTTGGAGCGCTGGCCGGATGCACGCGGACCGCCGGAGGCGCTCGCTTGGAGGCGCGCGCCGGCTCGGACGGCTCGGACCGTCTCGCGTTGGGAGTGCGGGAGGTCTCATGAAATCATAACAGGACCCGTGAGGAAAACATGGCCTCGCCCTAAACCAAACACCAGGCAAATGCGAACGACACACACAGCAGTGACGTCAGGGACTACCTTGAAACCTGGTGTCCAGCCTATCACCTGGCAGCTTTGCAGGGATGATCTCATCCATGCAAAGGGAATTCTTCAAGTTGGGTGATTGGTCATGGAGGTGAATGCAGCTGGGACGACCCAAGACAGAGTCCATCAAGGGACAGCTCTCTGACTGGGAGACTGTCAGGGATGGTCTGCCTGGCTCTTGCGGGCTCCAAATATCAAGGTTTTTGTTGTGTCTCGTTCCATCGTGTTCCGCTTTTTTTACATATCGTGCAGCATCTCCAGGAGCTGAAGACCCAACATCTCCAACACAAAAGACAGCTGTCTCCTTCGGTGGCTCTGAAGTGGTTGTGACCGAGCCAAACCGAACGCCACGGGACAGCCCCAGAACGGCGTCGGCGCCCACGCGCCTGAGTCCCAGTATGGTGGAAATACAAGGCGCCGCCCAGCCACAGGCAGGGAGACAGAAAGGAGATGAGACCTCAGACGTGGCACTGGGCTTCTGGGCCGTGAGCACAACGACAGCACCACGACAGCCCAACTTGGAGTCCAACAACGACAGAACCTGAGAACAGCTGTGATTGAAAAAGGGTGCCAAGATGTGCACCATGCAGATTCGGTACTGCAATCAGTGTCCGTCAATGCCAAAGCGAACCGAGTCAATGCATGCAACGAACCCCAAGGTTTCTGCGGCCGAATGCACGAGCCCCAAGCAACCATTTGGGGGTGCACACGTTGAGTCAAAAAGTGTCCCCAAACGCCACCTGAGTCCCAAAACGCCACCAGACCAGTCTTCCAGAAACAAAGACTGATCAAAGAATGAGGACCGGCAGCTTCCTGATTGCTGGCATCACGGCTTCAACTCGTGGACGGTCCATCCCCGAAGAAGCCCACATGTCAAGCCTATTCCGGGTCTTGGGCGTCGACCTAAACCTGGGGCTCAAGCCAATTAGGAATCATATACTGCATAAATATAATTAGGTTCATGACTCACCTCTTGCATGATAAGGACTGCTTGAGCTGCGGCCCGGACCTTCCTTGAATCGCATTTTCTAACCCAAATTCCATGTTCCGATGACTCATGATGACTGGTTTGATGCGACTCACACTGGTTCGTAGCACTGATGTGCACAAATAATCATGAATTGTATCCTTTCACCATCACACGTTTGGCAGTTTCATAGCTCCAGCGACCTGGTTCACCGCTCCGAGCAACTCAAGCTGCTGCTGAAGAAAATGCTGATCCTGGGCCGGCTGAAATTTCTGGCCATGCTGGGCAGCTATTATTGCATGTCGGTGAGCAGTCTTAGCACCTGCATCTGCCCCCTCTAGCTTCTGCCACGTTCAATTCATCATAGTTTAATTTGGAGAAGAATAAGAATGTCCATGTATTGAACTGAAGAAAGTCCACGTATGTCTGTAACGACGCGAGAGTGTATAGCAGCAAACACTGCCTCAACCGAGCTCGGCTGTGAATCGTTCAAGCTGACTCCACGGCACCTTCCTAGCATCTCGGTCCCCACGTCAAATATGACTCCTGGATTTTGCACTCTCAACTCCATCCCAACCAAAACCCGCCGCGACTTTTTTAGCGCAGCAAAGGATCAAGAGGTTCACAGAACCCAAGGCCTGGTTTCGACATTGTGCCGCCAGCAAGTTGCAGTAGCCATACCTTTTAAGTTGCAGACCGAGCGAAATTCGCCGCACCCAAACGGTCCGAAACGGGTCGGTTGAAGCCAAAAAACACCGCTTCGACGGTCATGTCCGTCGGAGGACGCGGTCGTTTTCTGCATCAAATGGGTCCAAATCGCGATCTCTTGAGGAGACATGGTCGTTTTCCCTTCTGAGGAACCTTCAGACACAGCCAGTTAAAGGGATTCAAAGTCGTTAAGATAACAGTGAGAACATTGAAATCCCACTAGTGACGGGACTCCCTTTATTTCGAGCCATGGCAACGTCATGTAATTAGACCTTTTGGGTGGTTGAAGCGTCCGCGCGGGAGTCATGATTCCCGTACATGTCCTGACTGATTATGTATAGGTCGTTTGGTCTACTTCCCAACACCATTTGGAGATTTGGTTGGTCGATCTCTACACTACTTCTACACTTCCATGTTCTACACTACACTTCCATGTTGGCACTTCCACGACTCCATGTTCTACACACAGTCAGCAAAATCGCCATCTCTCAACCTTGGTCTCGAGAGACCTCGACCGAGCTGCGCCCATGAGACGGACATACACTTCTGCCACTTCGAAGGAGAGAAGAAGGTCCCACAACCTGGCCGAAGCCAAGACCTTGGACCGACAAAACACGGCCGCCAGCGGTTTGATGTTTTGTGTCTTTTTCACACTGAGTGGAAGGGAAGTGGACCTGGAAATCGCAGGGTTCCAGGGCCAAGCTTGAAGTTGACAAGGGGAGCGACGCGGCTTTTCGACCGCAGCTTTGAGACAGCGGCAGGTGGTTCTTTTGCGGACCCCTTGAAACTGTGTGAAGAAAAGACACAAAAACATCCAAACCAAATAGTAGAAGCCAAGCCAGGCCATGACATGTGAATTATAGCTCCAAGGTTTTTGTTGAGCCATACCACCGTCCCGTTCGCTTTTGGAACTCGGCCGTTCCACGTTTTTGTTGGTACCTCGATGTGACCGCCGCGACGTATGGCTGCACTGTTGGACGGGTGGACGGGTGGAAAGATGGACCTGAGATGACCTGAGGAGGTTGAGGCACCAACCGTTGTTTTTGGAAGGGCGTTATAATAAACCCATATGAAAACAAAGTATTCAGTATATTCAGATCGATATAGTACTGGGTATATATAGTATATGGTATAGTGCTAAAATGTGCTAAAAAGCACCTTTGAATCCACCATCTACTATGTATATATGTATATACGGCGTCTAGAGTCTAAACGGAATCCATATGTCCACAAGTAAGCAGAGAAAAGGACTAGCTCTCCACCCTCCTGTCGCACCAAGAGCGTGTCTAACGCGTCCGCCAACGCGTCCGCTGCACGGCATCTCTCTGCGTCAAGCCGACGGCATCTCTCCGCATGCATCGTCCTCAAATGGAATGAGCGGTGATGCACACATCGGCCTTAGGACGTCCGTTCTGTCTGTCCCACAGGCTGTCACAGAGGGTTTGAGCTGAGCTCCTCAGGAAAGGAGCAACCTCTCTGGGAAACAAAAGGACAAGGAAAAGAAAGGGGGAACCAAGCTGCCTCGTTTTGGAAGGTCCTGAAGATAAAAACCCAGAGAAATACACCCAGGGTCGGTTTTAGGCTCTGAGGAGGCTCTTTGATCGATCAATGTGGGGAGATCACGGGGACCTGTCGTGGATGATGGGTTGTAGGTTGCATCATGTTGCATCACAGACCGACTGTTACTGGTGGGCCACACCCATACCGATGTGCATAGGGACGCTCAAGAGATTTGTGCGGACGCCGACGTTGAATGCTTAACCACACATGGCCGCTTCAAAGTGCTCTAGAAGATGGGAATCAGCCAGAAGGTATCATGCTTCTGTTGCACCCGTGGCCAAAGAGACCTCAAGCAGAGTATAGGCACCACATGGCACCACCCAAAAAACAACAACAACTGATGACCATGGAAGCTTCTCACCCCGACTGTGGGCACAAGTCCGATGGTCAGGGCTTGACATCTTGCAGCCTTCGACTCCCGACTTCGGAGGACCTATTGGAACCGCTTGGGAATGCCGATCGATGAATCAACTACACGACACTCAGAATCAACGACACGCAGGAAGTGGAATTTGCAAATAACAAGTTGTAATCCACGAGAGCATGCCATCCACGTAACCATGTTCGTGAGTCAGAGTGTATCTCTTGATTTAACACGACTTTGTGCTGCCATGTGCTGGTCCAAGGGGAGACCTTTTTGCTTGCCAGCTCTTCGAGAATCCTCCAGAAGGCTCCGCTGCGAGCTTGTACAAAGGATTCCGCTCGCCGCTTGGCCTCTTCTCCTTTCGCCTTTCTCCTTGTGACGTCCTTCATCAAGCTTTCCACCCGATGAGTAAAGCCCGCGGCCTCCTGGGGAGGCGGAGGATGTCTGCAAAAAAAGCAACTAGCAGTCCGATATAAAAGGTCCGATCCAAAAGAAGGCAAAAGCCATTGATGTTGCCCTGCAACAAGAACCTTTGATTGATGCAGTGGGTCTGTTCGTGTTTTGTTTGTTGTTTGTGACTTGTAGTGTTTCGTTGTTGGGACTGTTGTTTGCGGGGTTAGTCACGCATCAAGACCAACCATCACAAGACGATCCCTCGAATCTTTGGCAAGAGACCCCTCTTGTCTGAAAACAAGTACTAGTATCCAATTGTTGACTAAGGTGGTGGAACCCAAAGGGTTCCAGAGTCGCAACTGGCATGTGCACCCCACCGGTCGGTGAATTGTGTGCATGGCAACCAGCCGTATTCTCGAGGTGTTTTCCATCCAACCACCCAAACTGGGTGGTGCTGGTATGTCTGGTATGTCTTGGGTGATGAAGAGGTCTTTGCAAATCATTGTCTCATTCCCTGGCCTCTTCCGTGGCGATGTACAGATGACTCTCTGCCAAATCTCGCATTCGTTCCTCACTGGGCGGAGGCTCATGCCTGGTGGGAGACAAGGTGTGCTCGAGCTCGTCAATGGCGCCGCGATGGAGAGTGCCTGGGATTGAACACCAAGTCAAGATCGAGACAAGAGGTGATTTAAGAAATCCAGTAACGCTAGCTGGAATCAATCCCAAAATAACAAAACAAACACGCATCATGACTGAGAAATGGATCCAGACCTAAATAAGTTCTGGTGATTCCATCAGTTCCCGTTTGGGCTCCCTACCGGTGTGTGGGGTGGGTGCTTACGCCTGCTTGAAGCCAAGCGTCGAATCCTTAAGTCCTGAACCAGGCGGACGCTGACGCGGAGCTCCTCACAGAAGTTGGCCTCTCGGAGTCCGTAGTGATCACCTCAGCTGAGGTGAGTGGTTCTCTTCATCCCAGGTCAGTGTAGGCTCTTGAGAACATTCAGATCTTTCAGGAAAACTTCCAAAACCCAGATCTAGGGTACCAACCCGAATTGGTGAGAATCCAGGCCCCTTGAGAAGGTCGGGGTCGGCAAACCGACGAACCCATCCATCCCAACCATTCCTCACAAAGTCTCATCGCATCGCAGGACCCTGGTGGACATGTCCGCCCATCCCATAGTGCATTTTGACCCACACTGAAGTGACACACCTTGGAGATTGGAGTCGTTGGAAACCCCCGCTTGGAACCAAGATCAGAACATGTTTGGTTGGACGTTTGGCATGCCGGTGTGCGATCACAATATTGGCATGTGTTCAGCCATACCTTGCAATGAGAACTATAGTCACTATAACAATGCAACGCGTGGGCGTGGGCGTAGCAATGGTATGACGTTTGGTATGCGTGGGCCATGGCCAACTTTGTTGAATGCTCTGCAACAGTCTGTATCCCAGGATGAGGCCCAATGTAGTTCAAAAGCCATACACGGATGGGGTCTGCCACAATGATATCACCAAAATCGATGACGCTATTGATGCGGAAGAGGCACCAAAACTGTGAGACTAAACGATATTGTATAAAAGGAAATCAACTGCATCAACAGCACCAAACTTCATCTAGACATATCTAGACACCTTTTTAATCACCCTGCGTGTTCTTTTTGTTGCACCGCCGTGGAAACCACGCTGCGTTTCACCACGATCGACCGCGATCCGCCGTTCGCGGCGCGAAAACAAGCGCCGCTGTCCAAGGCGCTGCTGACCACAGGGATACCCAGGAGCTGAGCCTCAACGGCCACGAGTCCAAAAGCCTCTGACCAAATGGAGGGCACCAGAAGAACTGCTGTGCGTCGATAGATGTCCTCCTGGCATCGCACTTGTGAACTTGTTTACTTTTTTAATGCAACAACAAAACATGTGATGCAGGAAAGGCATGTACAAAACTGCAGAACGCGTGCGCTCTTGCTACCTTTCGAAGCGACAATGTATGAATGCAAATTGTGAATGGATAAACACCGTTCACTGGGTGCAAACTATAAGGCAGGCGTGTTTCATGTTGTTTCTTTGTAACAGCACAAACGATGTTTATACATGCTTTTTGTGAGAAAACTGGAAGAACACTACCCACACGTGTATCACTGCAACCCTAATTACTAAGCTACGTGTGTTTGATATGTTTGAAGCCCTTGGAAGTACAACTTTACATGAAAAAACATTCATTTTAGTGTTCCCAGCAAATAGGTGGGCAAACACCCCCAAGAAGACGAACAACAGTTACAATAGAAGAAAAGGAAAGGCAACAGTAGGGAAAAGCAACATTGGAAATGAGTTCTAAAAGGGCCAACCCCTGTCAAAGGACTTGAAACACAGTATATAAGTTAAAAAGCCACCATCTGGAGATCGCAACCGAGGGGCGGGTAGACAACCCCAAGAAGACAAACAACATGTATGTATAAGTACATATAGAACAAAAAACAACATTGGACATCATGTCCGGGTCTAAAGTTGCCCAATCCTTGGCAAGTATTTCAAATAACGCAAGTTTAAGCACCCGTTTCAATTCAGTGTTTCACCCACGCTATCCCAAAAAAGGGGTGTGTAGAAAATCCCAAGACGACAAACACAAAAGGTATAGAAAACAAGGCAACATTGGAAACTATGTAATTACCAACGGACACAAAATAACGGAAGGCTTCCAAAATACAATGGGTGGGTCCAGCCAGATCGATAACATCAGTAGGGGCAACCTCAAGTCAATTTCAATCGAAAGGTGGGAGTCCAACCTGAAACGCTATCTTGCACAAACACCTCGCCACCAACCTCATCCTGCCTCAGAATAGTTGTATAATTGATAATTGATATACATCATGTGGCTCAAACCTTGGGGGCTCCAATACAACCAACAAATTACGCATATAGACTATATATGTTGCATCAATAGAATAAGCTCCAGCTAATACCTTACCACCAATTGGAAATAACACACAAGAGGCAAACACGCATATGCCGCAAAACATATTTCACCATGCATTATATATAGAACTCATATATTAATTCCATGCACATAAAAAAAGAAACCATTAATACATATTAATGCATATATATTATATACCTACAATTATATATGTCGACAGGCAGAATTCGTTCGCCCAACAGCATACACAGAGATGGAACGCTTCGGTTCGTTCGTTCGCGCCGAGGTTCCACCGATGTTCGCCCCGGCAGGATCTCCACGTTGGGGAGCTTTCGCAAGGCTTCCACATGGATGGACTTGGTCCACAAGGTGGTGACCGCTAGGAAGCGCAAGGAGGGCAATTGATGGGCCACCCGGAGGAAGATGGCAAGGCCTTGCACTATTGATGGAATGTTCAAAGAAAGAAGGAGCGGTTGGTCCTTCAAATTGCTGCAGAGAAGGAAGCCCAACACTCAATGTGACTGGCACGCGGCATAATATACATAGTACCCAAATGTACCCATATTATACATTGGGGGTTTCTGAAGCTAATGCAGGTACAAATTCCATATATTGAATGTCTGGGGATTGGTAGCCATGTGCGACCTGAAAAGATTGGAACATTGTGTAACGGCACAGGTGTGCCTGGAGGCCGAGGCAAAATCTGTGTCATGAAAAAGACGTTCTTTCAAGAATCTCTAGAGTTTTCTGAGTTTGTCATGTAGTCTCACGTTGGCTGACTCAACCCATTTCAAAAGTCCAGTCCACTAAAACTGGAAACAAACACATGACAACTTCATACAACTTCCATGCCTTTGGTATTGCCTCCGGGAACGATCACGACGTTTGTTCCGTCACCGATCTTCGCAGCGACGCACACGGCCCTCGGGCCTTTGGCCGGGCAAGGGCTGATGAAGGTCACCAACTGCCCGGTGGAGCTTTCAGAGTTGGAGAAGCGATCAAAGTAGCCATAGTCCGCCGAATAACCTGAGGTTGGTGGTAAACCTCTTAGACAAATATGAGTCAGTGTGAACATGTTTGTTGGATTTTGTTGGAAAGGTTGACCAAATGACCATATTATATCTGAAACCACTGCCCAGCCAGCGCTTTTGGAAGCTGAGCAGTTTGGAAAGACCTTCATGTTGTGAGCCCAAAAGCTTATTGTTGGTTTGGCAAAGACGCGGGCCCAGAGAGTCTAATTATATAATCTTATACGTTAACACCTATACTGAAGAATTAACCATTCAACGCATTTTGGGGGGGTGTGAGGTTTTGAACAACACAGCGCGGCACCATCAAATGCAAGTTTCAACAGGCGGTATAGGTGAGAAAGAATTTCGGTTGAACTGGAAAATGGCTCCAACAGCACAAAAAATAGAAGAAACAAGCTCTCTCGGCATACTGAACTGAGAACTGAGTGCTTTCCTGCATGGAATCAACTCAAAACATATTCACGCGTCAGTTCTCTCTCCATGCAACAGAGTCGAGTCTCCACTTGACCCTCGGACCAACGTGTCACGTATTCCGCCAGGTGTTGTGAGGTACAACAAAGCCGCGTCCGCCGCAGGAGCTCCACGTGACTGTCATGAAGTTCACTCGACGCCTTGCCACAGCGAAAACGTGACCGGAGAAAACATGAGCGGTGGAACCGTGGTCAGTTACGTAGTTCAAAAGCAGGAGAGCATCCCTGCAGTGTTGGAGGCCAGGACGTAACTGTTCCATGTACTCTAAAGAACTTGGACCACTGCAAGGTGAGCAAAATGACTTGGAGCTGGCATTCTGAGACATCGGAGCTAAAACAGTTGATGGTGGCGGTGAAACCTGGGACTGCCGCCGAATCAAGCCATGGTCGATCCTGATGCTCGAAGTTCTTGGACATCTCAGGCATGGGGATGAAGATGAAAACGTGAGTGAAGGACGCATGTGGGTGAGTGATTGTCCAACCAAACGCAAACCACATGAATTGTAAGTTCGAAGATGGCCAGTATGAATGGGTGGTGGCCGGGAGGCCGGTGGGTGTGATCCACACCAGGGGTACTGGACTTGAGCTAGGTGCAAAACTTGGCTCTCGCAGGGTCTTGCCTGCAGCACACTGGCACACGGGCTTTGTGACATTGGAGGAAGTCTGGCTGCCCTCACTTGGAACTCCACGATCACATGCAACTGCAACCACCCAGTGTGGTTGGAAACCATTCCCTGTGTGTGCACTTTTTGGGGCTGCTAACAATCATTTCGGATCTGTTGATGCTTGCTGCTGGGCGGCCACATCAGTGTTCGACCTGCAGCCACACCCTTTCACTTGATCACCCCCTTCACCGCGTCGCGTCGACGCGGTGAGTCGACCACGGAACGACCACGGAACGACGTGGATCAGCCCACCTCTCGCACCCCCCAGGGGCCGATTGGCAGATTGTAGTCATGCCCCATAGCCACATGGGTCTGTGCAGTCACTGCATGCAGCAGCGTGAGCATGTCGCGACGCAAAGATGTGGAGAGCGCCACCTTGAGGGAAGTGGGCGAGCAGAAGAAATGGGGGCCGAAAATGGACTGATTCTGAACATCAAGAGTACGAGGGAGTACGGGAAAAGCACCTCAAGACTCTTGTGCGCCGATAGTTGTTTACATGTGTTTCCAAAACTAAAACAACTGTCTGTGAACCTCTTCCTTTTGAGCAAGACTCCAACTCAGCGATCTCCGTTCAGTTTGCCGCCCCTCAAACAAACAGATCTAGCCGGCGCAAGTCCTTCCCCTAGGGTATTCCACATTCAATCGCACATCCTGACATGACAGTGGATTCTAAGGTGGCCCCTTCCGGTGCCGTTTTGAAAAGAGAATTGGACAGCTACTACTAAGAGACTTGAGACAACACACTGGTGCTGGCATGTGCTGGCGGTTTCCGCCCAACATGGTGGCCGCTTCCACCACGCTGGTAGTTCTGTCGCGTGTCCGCCTCGCAGCGCAAGTCTCCTGCCACAGCCACCAGGAGCTGCTCCAAGTCACCTGCAATGGAGGAGCTTTTAGGTTCAAATGAAGAAGATCAAACACTATAAATTATCAATGACCATGTAGTACCATGTACCACTATACACATGAACCAGGTGTGTTTCTTCCTGCTTCAAAATGACAGTTCTCAAAAAGAGCCAACATCCAAACATCCAAGCAATTGCGATTTGTCGGTGTGTCATCTAACAGTTAGGTGGGCGCCCATCCGGGCTAAAGCAAACAAACTCCATCCCTTTGGCCCCTCCTGGCATCTACAGAATCATGTATGAATCGGAGCGATTCCTTTTTCAAAAAGCGATCAACAAATATCAAAAGCGGCTCCCAATCACGGCTATGGATAAGCACCTTCTGCTTCGCAAAAAAAAGGTGAACGCGGCTTCGCATCATGTTTCGCCCCACATGATGCTTATGACTGCCATGGCTTACAAGCGATGTTTAACGTCCTTGTTTCTACCCATGGTGTGGAAAAAGCACAGTACATGCCAGATGGGTGATGTTCTGTGTGCTAGACGGTGCCTCGCCAAGCTTCCACCAGGCCATAGCCCTGCACCTGAACTTGTAAAAGCTCCGGACCCTCAATGGACAGCTCGAAGGCCGTCTGGAGTTTCGAGCTCCCTTCCTAGAGCAGCAGACCGTTTCGAAGTATCACACTTTCACTCCAAGAAGTCCCAATAAGTCGTGTGCGACCAGGATTGATGAGGCATATTCGGCTGAACTGAGGATTGCTCTGCCCACTCCACTTTGGGGTGCAAGTGATTGGACAAGTAACTGGACACCCAAAACTCTTCAGAACATTTCAGAACACCAGTGTACCGTGCAGTGTACCGTGCAGTCCACATACTCTTGTCTCATGACTTCCGGATACCTTGATCGACGTTGATTGACAACTGAAAACCTTTCTATCCCTAGTGCTCCAAGTACCTTCTTAGGTGTTTGGGAAGAGTTTAGAGGGTCCAGTCATACCTTCTGAGGAGCTACTTGGAGCCCTAGGATATGACGTTCTTCATTTTCCTCGCCTCCAAAGGTGCTTGAAAGTCTAGAATCAGTAGCACCATCAGCGTCCACCCAGATCGCGCGCCTTCCAGCACATTCCGCAGGAGTGCGTGAGTCGCCAACTTCCGGCCATTCCCAGAGCTGGACACGTCTACGTGGGGATCGAAATAAGAAGTTTCCTTGAACTCGTCTTGAGATGCAATCACCACCTGAAGGGATGACTATCAAACTATCATGTGTTACCATGATGAATCTCTCTTTCTGTCAATTCAGAATGCGCTGCCGGCGTGAAAAAGCAACAACGAACACCAAGACAAAAGAACGTCTGTCTCAGCGCTTAGCCCGTCCGAGCGGCCAAGGTCCGGCAGTTTCCCATCACCTTCGGATCCATTGGGACCTTGGAGCGTACACAAAGCCAGGAGCCCTTTAAGGCCCTGCGCTTCTCCAGCAACTCCGCCGGCGCCTTCGGCCGCACGTACGCCACGCCGCAGCGGCCCAAAGGGCCCAAGCCCAGCACGAAGCCCGAGTCGCCGTGGCAGTGGTGCTTGCAGAGCTGAAGGGCTTTGGGTGTCTTGAAACCCAAGGGCAAGCGAAAAGTCTGGAGATTTTCACCTGGAAAGGCGTCCACATGGCGCCACACGCGCCAACTGGGCCGCCAGTGGCGGAGACGCTGAGCAAGCCTTCCACGCTGCCGGGGCCAGGTCTCACGTCGCTCTGCATGAGCCATAGGGCGATCGTGGAGCAGCTTTAGTTGCCTCAACCTGGGAGGTATGTAACTGGTCATCTAAGCAGTGGAGGAACAAAATGAATGTTACGTGAGTGCTTGTGTACTGGGGACACAGTGTGCCCATGTTTGAGGATACTTTGAAGACTTCTAGAATATTCTAGAATGCTTTCGCATGACAAACATATATTATATCACTTAATTTGCTTAGACATGTTCCCATCACGTTGGGGTCTTTCTTCTTAAACCAAAAATCCCATGCATGTCGTTTGACTTAGCACAAATGGCTTCAGCATGCAAAGCCATTGTCCAAGACTTTGGACCTCACCACTTGGTCAGGCTTGGACCGCGGGACGACTGTGACTGAGATAAGGTTGATGACCTTTCAACAACTTGGGCGCCAAGAAGGATAACACAAACATCGATGATCCTGGGAAAGAACATGAAAGAGCCACGTCCACCAATTCAAAACACCTTGTGATTGTGTCTTGTCTTCCAGCTTTTTCTCCTCTGTCTGTGTCCATCCTCAAAACTCACAGAACCATCCGATTCATTCCTTCTCCTTCAACCTCCCCCCCCCCGGTGCTACCACCGTTAGTAACACCCACGTCCCCTTAGGTCGCCGGCTCGTCATGGAAGTTCGGCACCATCAGGACCCACACCGCCAGCGAGCCCATCCGCAAGCTGGCTGAGATCCTCCCCGCCGAGCGAACCCATCGACCATCGAACCGTGACCCACGCAGCGCGATGGTCGAGCGCCAATTGACGGATCCGCGCATTCGCGGAGTCCGAAGGGAACCGGTGTGGAGGGGGAATGGTGTTGGTACCTATATACGCCATGCTAAGCCTGGAGTGGGCAGGCATCCAAAAGAAAGACGGCAAAAGATGGACCAAACCTGAGGCCAAGTAACAACAGGCGAACAAAAAATCAAGATCGATCGAAATTTTGCCCAAGTCGTCCTCGCTTTTGGACACCAAGTTGGACCCTTGACATCCATTGAGTGCATTCATATTATGGGACCCAAGGGATTCCAAAGGCCCTTGCTTTTTCTCCCTGGATCCTGTCGGGGTGGATACCACTTCTTATATCGGATGCACAGCTGGTGCAGAACTTGCCAAACTAGATATCAACATATATTATCAACCCAATTCTTGCTGAAAGTGAAAGGATAATTAGGAATTGCCCGTATATCTTTCTTCTACTTTTTTAAGACCTCGCGGATCTTGGACTGGGCCTTGACACTTGTGGCTGCTCAGTTCGGGGACACCGCTAAGGTTTTTTTGGCCTTGACACTTTTCGATCCTGCTCGAATTGCAATCAAACAACCCGAACACCGTGAGAGATCGCTGTCACTGGCTTTGAGAGCTTAGATCTCCTACTTCGGGGTGTCCCCAACTTGGCAGCCAAAGCTTCATGAATCCATGTATGAATCCCAAACCTGTTCCGCCAGGAAAGCAATGCCTCCTTGATCTATTCCCCAAATCCTCTCATCCGTCGCCGTTGAATCCGGAGACACCGGACGCCACCGAAACGCGGACCAGCGGACCATTGGTAGATTGAAGCTGATCGTTGGCTATGACCTCAGGGGGCGTTGCCCATTTCCGAGGCATCCAACGCTAGTTGAAACTCATTTGAGGGGACGTGAATCCCCCATGAATCCCCCGGCATGGTCTTAGCGTCTGCAAAGGGGAGAGGGTTTTTCATCCAGTGGACCCATGTTCATGGGCAGGTCCAAGGCCGCAGCGCGGGGGGAGGTCTGTTCCTCGAAGGCCCGGAGAACCGCAAGTACCAAGTTGACAAAATTGTAACATCGCCCAACCTTTGGGCAGCTCAGCACCTCCCCATTTGCGTGGAGCTGCAAGGCTGCTGTTTCCAGTGGTATATCCACTGAGAGCCCTCACCGGGGCCCCCACCAAGCAATACAGGCAAGACACCCCAAACCTCAACCAGCCTACTCGCTCGCTCACTCACTCGCTCACTCACTCACTCACTCACTCCCTCCCTCACTCACTCACTCACTCACTCACACTCTCACACTCACACTCTCTCCCTCTCTCTCTCTCTCCCAAACAACCATACCCAAACAATCCGTGCATGGAAGGTTGACCCAAATTGACCTACATTATCCTACATCGACCCCAAAACATCTTATATACATCCATCCGTGTAGGCTAATGTTTCCATACATGGATTATTTGGCATAGAGACTCAGGGTAGATGGAGAAAGTCTCAAGTACAATTCAGCAACAAACAAACTGAGGCACCCCAAAAAGCTCGAGCCACCTAATGCCTAAGATCGTTCAAAACATCAACAACCATGACATACCATGGAAACGCACAAAAGTCCTCGGGACGAACGAACAACTCCCCGGTGCGGAGCGCACGGGATGTGCACACCGAGGCACAAAGCCCAAAGCACGAATGCTGCTCCTGAGCGTGGGACACGTGACACGGCACGTGACACGCACGTGACCCCCCAACGTGGAGATGGCACGTACCATGGGGCCGACTCGCGACTCGTCTTCAGACATTGCACAATAAGATACAATAAGTGTGTAATAATATATATATACCTATAGAGCCCTTTGACATAGAAATCTTTGATACGAAAAATAAGTAGTACGAATGCACAAAAACTAGCACGTGTTCCCCAAAAACAGTCGAGCCCAAAAAACTAGTACGAACAGGGGTGAGGTTGGCAGCACAGACAGCGACAACGGATGCACCTCGACGTCATCTTTTTCCACTGCGTCCGGGCCTAAGGTCCCTAGGGTGGCGGGTGGAGGTAAGAAGCGTGAAATTCACTGGCCCACTCTCTTCGATAAAGGCCAAGGGATCGCAGAATTGTATTCAAAGGAGCAGTCAAAACACTTGTCCTTCTACTGATACGCGATACTCTTCCTATGAAATCCTCATCGGTCCACGTCGCGTGGACCGCCGGATTCTCGATGAATTGGCAATCACGATTGCTCTCCAACATGTGTTGGACGTCGAGCCTTGGGCTAGTCGATTTGATGGCATTGGCTTGATTCAGGAAGCTCTGACATATCAGGAGCACACTTTTGAGTCTTGAGTGTTGCTGTTTGCTATGTTCGAGCTTGTTGGCTGCCAAGTAACACCAAATGGCAAAACATGTGCAGTTTAGGGCGGAGATTAAAGCCTCGCCATCCTTGTCTGGAACATAGGCTGGCCAAAGTCGCGTAGCCATCCTTGGGGGGGCTAACTGAGCAAAGAAGTGTGAGGAGCCAGGAGCCCGGGTCGGGTCCAAACAAAACCATGCACAACCTATAGATCTGTTTTGGTGGCGATGTCAAGTCTATAGAAACCGGTGGCTGTTCAACCTTAAGTAAGAAAACATCATGCATGTGGGGCTAAGCCACTGTGAAAGCCCAGCCATCCAAGACTATGTTTTCCGCATCACGCCTGCTAAGCCATAGCCCGTTCCCGTAAGCACATCTCCAAAATCGGTTCACCGCCGCACAACTCCACTGCAGCACCTCCACTTGATCTTTGTATTGGTCTTCCTGGGCATGCGGAAGCATCCTGATTGAGAAAACTCTACTACAGCGTGCCCAGGTCAACAACCCCAAAACACCAAAAGTCACACTAGCTTCAATCCTTGTGTCTACCAAGGCCAAATCGATTTGAAGAAGCTCTTCATCCAACCAAGCGCCAACAACTGCAGCGTCTTGGCCTTTACCAAGGCCCTGTGGTGAGTGGCGTAGCCTTTGTACCCGGGAAAATGGGAAGCATTGAAGCTATGACTGCAAGACCCCAGGATAGATTTTGAGTTGGCCAAAACCGAAAAGTGCTAAATTGTCAACAGGAAACGAGCCAACAGGCAACTTGAAGGTCTTGTAGCTGAACTCATAGATGCTTGTGCGTTTCCCCCGGGCATTACAATATGCCATGAAGCGTGAGTAAGCATTCTGAAATTTGCAGTCCGTGTTCCCGTTGCCAAACCAGCCCAGATTCATCAGAAGAATGATAGCGCTTGCGCAGAAGTTCTTGCCCACCCCATCAATTGCGTAGGTGTGAGCTGGATCAATCCGTACATATTTGGGGGTTCCAGATAGACACTTGAGATCACGTAGCGGAGAACGTACAGCTTTGAAGGGGTTTGGATTCATATCCAATGGGCCCAGACGCTTCACGTCAACCTTGACATTCCACCAGTCCTGTAGGATGTTGATGTTACGGGTCAAACAAAGTACTTGCAAACACATAGCGGCGGAGTACAACATATAAGAAGAGCTTCATCTATGCCACTAAAAACAGTGGGAGCCAGGAACACAAGTGAAGGGTCCTTAAGCTGGCAACGATGGCATTTCTGTTTGCAGTTGTATCCACAGTTCAAGCCCATGCTGGACCTCAAAAACGGCCAATCACCTTTAAGGCTCACCACTTCGAACCGGTACCTGTAGGTCTTCTGCTTCCAAAGTACCTGAGAGCTGGCCATACGCGTCAAAAGGGGGGCTCCAGCAATTTTTGTTTCTGAGAAGCAACGGGGGTGGTCCCAAATGATTTGCGCCAGCCAAAAACAAATACAGATCAAAATAATTAGTTGACATGTTCAAGACGGGGAACGGTGATTCCTGTTTCGCTCATGCTGTTGAGGTCGGCAACCCACGCTGTCAGCAAGTCGTACAAGGTGGATTGGGTGTAGGGGGACGGGATGATGGTGTAAAGCAACCGGGTGCATATGCTAGGCCTTGGCTCTTGCTTCTGTGGGAATGGATGGGCATAGGATTCTTGCAAGGGGACCCAAAGACATCCAAAGACAAACAAACAAGTTGTAACATTCTGGCATACTTGCTCAACAAAAGAGTGCTTTGGCAAAGCTGAAAGACCCTGCCATGTTCGTTTTCCCAGGCCGAAGTGGAAGCACACATTGGGCACTCAAAACCATCACTGGTCGCTTCATGCGACCTCTCCCCTCGTCACCGTGTAAGCTAATCGGAATGCTGTGGTCCCACCTCTCTCTAGGTGGCATCTCAAAGTCTGGATGCGTAGCTTCAAACTTTTCCCAAAAGTCAACAAGGTCCCTGGAAAACTCATCAGCGCTATCCATGGTTTTGCCCTGCATGAAGAAGTGGACCCCCATTAAAGCTCACCTCTGCCCAGCTCCACAAGTGAAGGACCGGGTGCTGGACTGGCACTGGGGTAGGTCTTTTCCTTGAAACTCTACGCTTCGTGGGGACATAGGTGATGTCAACCGGAAGAATCTTTTTGAACGCTTTGACAGTTCTGTGAAGATTCCGGCATATGTGCGAGTCCGACTTGCTTTTGCCACACTTGGCCATCTTGGAGAGAAACAAGTCAGCCAATCCTCCGCCAACAAAGTATGCATGCGCATTCAAAATGTCCAAGTGTAAAACAACGAAGCTGTGGCAAAACAGGGTTTACAACACGCAAACCATCAACATAAACTCAAGACAAGGCACCATGTTTCTTGAGCCGGTTGTTGGCCACTGTAGCGAGCCGGACAATCCGAGCTGCTGACTCTGCCTCAGCCCAGCGAAAAGGTCAGTATACCGTATGAATTTAAGCGATCCCTGCACGACTATACCAAGGCCCCAAACCCAGTGATTTCTCTCAGACGAGGGGCCCCCTGCTCGAATCCGGTCAAAAGTTCGTCCGCCAGATCAGCATCATCGTCTTCATAAAATCCTGACGATGCGATGTTGAGAGGTTGGAACTGAAACGGGCTTGGGTGAAGTTGGGACAAACGTTGTTGGAACCTGCCTCCATCAACTCGCGAGGTAAACAGGCCACCACGTGTTTGGCCTGCGAAGGGAGTCAAAGGTATTGAAACTAACTCGAACCTTTTTGTGTTCTGCCACCAAAAGAGGAGGCCATGGACCCATGGATTCACCTTTTGTTCTTTGGCGAAACCTCACTGACTCCAGATGAAACTGGGTACATTCACCCCACCTGCGTATTAGCTGTTGCTGTTTTGCACAGCCTGCGGCCTGGAATGTGTTGCTACAAAAAAGAAGTATCGTATATGCATGTTTTTTTAACCATGCTGTTGCAGGCTGTGTGGCAACAAAACCCCATGAGACTCGATAGATCAATGGTATCACTGATCTCATCTCCAAAAAGCACCAACCCTTAAAGAGCTGGATTTCTAGGCCTCATCACCGGCCGGCTTAGAAGACTTAGCCTTAGCCTTTGCCTTTCCGGCCTTTGCAACCTTAGCTTTTGATTTTCTTTTAGGCTCTTTGGCCTTGGCCTTGGCATCCTTGGCCTTTGTGGTTCTTTTAGTACCGGCCCCGCCCCCACCACTGGTCTTGGCGCCCTTGATGTTCCTGCCGGCGAGGCGGATGACGTGCAGAATGGAAGCTGGGCAAACAGCGGCAAACACAGAATGTTCGAGCCAGGGGCCTAGCTCGAACCACAAGGTTGTTCAGCGCAACATCGGTTCTGGTGCAAGAAGCACAGAGAAGTAGCATCTCCTTTTGCTGCTCAGGCCTCACGGTTATTCTTTTCACTTATATTTGGTAACGTTTGCTATGCCATGCATGCATGGTATACATCTCAAAGTGCCTGGCAGCTCGCGAAACTGCAACATCAGCTTGAAGTGCTTCAAGCTTTTTATAGAGAGTCTTCATGGAATTCGTGTGCGTGGAGATCTCGTCAGCGTACCTCGTGATGTGCAGTCATGACTGCGCACTCTGAGGCAAGCTTTGCTGCATTCTCAGGAGAGGGCTCTTTGGCTTGGTTGCTGGAAGACTTCGAAAGTTTGTCCTCGCAAAGGGTGAGCGCTTGGGAAGGGTTCACTTTTGCCAATCCCAACAGCAAGCGAAACAATGGAATCTAAAGGGTAGAATCCAGTCCAGCACGGCTGCCACTGCATCGATCTTTCGTCCACAAACGGACAGGAATTGTGGTAGCACAGCCATGGCCGAACTGTTCTCTTGCACGGATGGAAAGACCAACCTGGGCACCAAACATGCAGAGAAGCCTAGGTTCTAGCGTATGGGACCTGTAACGAGCATACTGAGTTGAATCTAAGGGGCTTGAAAGACCCAGAGTTAGCCAGGGTAGCATCGGTGGTTCCAGTCTGAGCATGGTTTCCATGTTGGAGTAAGTCTTCCATGGAGGAATCCATAGTTGGCACGTCCGTCTCAAACACGGAGCCGGTAGTGTCCTAAGAATTCTGCAATATATATCTTATAGTATACAAACTGAAAGCTTTAACCTGAGCTAGATTGTACGTTAATATTTAGGAAGCAGTGCGACACTCTTCAACCGGAAATGCTGACATGGTTCTTCAACATCCATGCGAACCCGTTCCGTTGTGGTTGTGCCCTGCTCGTCTTTCATCGAAAAAGACTGACCTAGCACCAGTCGTGCTTCTTGTTCTCCGTGCATGCTGTTTACCCGAACGAGCCCCCGCGAAGACGCCCAGTCAAAGGCTGCATCGG